ATTTTTTACTATTCAATCTGAATTTTGAGTAGGTCTCATCTAAATCTTTCCAGCATATTCAAACGTTTTTGCCTCTTAACTGACATCAAGTGGATTCATCTGAAAAAAGTTTCTATGCGATGAGTATATCTCATAACAGTTATAGGTTCTCATTATATTTTCCACTCTTAGTTTCTATCTTTATTGAGAATCAGAGTACAATAAATGAATTCAAAACTCCAAAATTGGAACTCTATATCACTCCGAAATAAAAAAAGCACTCATGAATATATTGTAGATGAGCGTCACTTGATACCAAGAAGTACACACATACGGATTGAGCATTCTGTTGATAGCGGCACGATAAAACCAATAAAAATTAATAGCCACCCATGTATGCGTGTTTTACAATGGGTCACACCATACTAATGGGAGTATTCAACTTCAAATCCACAAATTAATTACTAATTTAGTAACTTTGCCAATAATTAAGGCAAATAACCAACTAAATTGTGTTTTTGAATCTGTTTTTCATTTTTAAGATAAGGTTTTTTATCATTTGTATTTTTCGGAAAATAAGCCTTATTTATTCAAATATTTGGTAATGAGAAATACAGGTGCAATAACTTCACAGGTGGACCAACCTTGGGAGCTACTTTCCAGACTACTAGAAGGGGCAGAAAATGTATCTTCTTCAAGAACTATCAGTTCAACTTGAACCAAATGTTGAATAAACGGTACTTTTGGATATGTTCCAAGTACTACCAGACGAAATGTAAAGCGAGATGCGTGACAAACTGTGAAGGTCAGGTTTACAGATATAATACATGCCACAATCATCCGCCAGACCCGGAGAAGATTATAACTTATTGTCAACCAAATTTGTATCTTTAGATAAATATAAATGTTCTCACAACAAGTTTCACTGATAAAGTAAGGTTTTGGCTTTCTACTTCTTCATCTTTCTACAAAAAATATGAGGGAATCTGCCAAAGAAAACAAGAAAGCAATCAACTTCGAAAAATTAACTATATACAAAGATGTGTAGATCTTGAGAAGAAGTAACTTTCAGACACAAAAACTACTTTCATATGAACATTGAATTACACGAAATAAATATATTTTCGAAACAACTGAATTATCCAAAAAAAAAACACCATTCTGTATTCAGTTTGTATTCTGAACGTTCGTTATGGAATTGAATCAGATATCATTCACAGGATTTCTACACAATATAGTAAATAAAAGAGCTGAAATTCAACTGTTCAACAACTTACATGTAACACTGTCATCTTCACTGGTGGACATCCGATGTTTCGGAATAAGACACTAACTAGCCTTATTGCCTCTTCAGCACCAATTTGGATAACTTTATAACATGGACAACATTCCTACTCACGACTTAATGTGACTAATACAGGAATCTCATTTCAATTGAATGGCGTAAATTTTCAGGGAAGAATAATTTTTGTAAAAAGATGGAGAAGTAGACACCCGAACCCTTTTTTCCCAAAAATCAATACCTCATAAAAATGTAACTCTTTCAATTTAAACGAGTTTCACTGGTTTCAGTTCAACTTAAACTGAAGCCATAACCATCGATGTCACATTTTACTGCTGGACTGGAAGACTACTTCATTTCGTCACATTTCATAGAAGTGTTGGAAGTGTAAAAAAAACTATAAATTTCAATATCAGACATTAAACAAAAAATTCTTACAAAATGTCACATGGTAATTTTTATGTTTTACCATTTGGAAAAAAATTGTAATTATCCACGTGTTATTTCATATTGTTTATTGAATAAGTAAATGAAAGATTCGAATTCATTTTTCAGAATACGAAAGAGCATTAAAAAAATTAATAAATCTTTTCCACTACTGTTAAGTCCCGACTGATAATCTGATAAATACAAATACGAGTGAAAAGCGGATATTTTTAGGTGACATTGGTTTAAGGGAATAAAAGGTTTTTGATTTTCACTCATCCATCCCTAAATAAAACATGTGCAAAAATTACAAAGAAAGGAAGAAAGAAAATATCTACAATGAAAATTTTTTATAAAAATATGTGGTGAGTATACAGCAATTTTGGTGTTATTCATTATCAAGTCTCAAGAATCAAGAATCTCAAATTCTGTATAGAGGTATAAAATCCACACCGGCATCAACATAGTCCAAGTATTCGTATAAAAAAAATCAGAGATAGATAATTGGGCTAAAAAGTTCGTAGACATAGAAACAAAATTTTTGATGAAATTTGATTTTATTATTCAATTCAATGCCACAAAAACTCAGGCAACGGTTTTCTTCAAGAAGATAATTGTTTCCGATGTGATAATATCAGGTCAGACAATTCCGCTTTCTGCTTCGATAAGTTTGTTGGGGGTTAAAATGGACACCAATATGTCTTGGCACAATCATGTCGCTGGAACTGCAAAGGCTAAAAAGCTAAGAACTCTGTTGCGAACCAGAAAACTGTACACACCTCAGCAACTTTTGATGCTGTATAGAGCACAGATCATTATCAAGTCCAATAATGTGTAAATCATCCCAGAATACCTGATACGCCAAGTACTCACAAAGGACATCCAAGGGAGACGGTCATGAAGAGATGGTTAAGAGCCCAAGTATTGTAACCACTTATCGACCTACAGGTAGATCAGGTTTCGAAGCATTGTCTAAACTTTCAGTCTTCCAACCTGTGAGGGCACCAATAATGAGAAGACATAAATTTCTTAATGGTCCATTCCATTCTATATGACAGAAAATGAAGTCTTTGATCACCAGCCACGCAGTACGTAAGTCAAAATGGACAGTTTACGAACTACAATTCGTCTGCCAACAACAAATCTGTTCCAATCATAATTCAGGCACCTTATCAGCCCCAAGTCAGTGTGGTATATGTAACACCGAACTGGTTGGCGAAATGCTCGTTGAAAAGAAAGTTGCAATTCTAGTGTTTGAGTAGAAAATATTGATATGTTACTGGATCTTCCAAAACTTTTTTTTAGAAAATGTACCAGGTGAAGTTTCCAATAAACTCTTGCGGGTTGCGGAGGAGGATCGAATAGACCCACTCACTTTGGACCTAACCTAACCTATATACCACGATACAGTTGAATCATTATGTATTGATAAATGGGGTAACAAAAAATACATGACATTAAAACGGAAAAAGCACAGTAGAATTATTATTTATTGAAATATGGAGCTACAAAAAAACATATGACATTGAAACAGACAAATCTTTGAAACAGTCTAATAGATCACTATTCATGAAATTTCAAAAAAGCCAGCGTTCAAACAGAGAAAATATAACCATTGCTTTGAAGATTTCCGAAAATCTCATATTCGCAAAAAAAGAATATTAAAACTCAATACAGAGGGTGTTCCTTAAACACATGCTAATATTTAAGGAGGTAATTCTTAGACCCATTTTAAGAAAAAAACTTCCTATGGACGTATGTCCTAAACGCCTTAACTTTTGAGATACAGGGTGGCAAAGTTTTCAAAAATAATCAGTTTTTCAATAATAACTGAGATAATTTTGTAGACATCTTTGGCATATTTGGTACATATGTTCCATGCCTCAAGGCGCTTCCTCAATTTCAGGAGTTCTTACTACACGAGGTCTACCTTCCGGAGTCCCTTTCTTGAAACTACCAGTTTCCCCAAGTCGACGATAAATATTTGAAAAGGTTCGGCTATCTGGTAAGGCACGATTAGGATATCTTTCCTGATAAATGCGCCTGGCTTCTGTTGCATTACCATCGGCAAGGCCATATACGTAATGCATTTGCGCCATTTCCGCATTCGTATAATTTACCATATTTACTGATATTCAGAAAAACAGCGGACTACCAAAATAACTTCAATAACACTTCAAAATCAATCAAAACGCGCTGTGACAGTTTTCAACACCAACACCTTACTTTAAACCAACATCAATATTAGCTACTGACGTTTGTACATACAGAGAATTCGTTTTTTATTGCTATGGTGGGTACGCTGTTTTTTCTGCTTTTATTCTTTAAAAGAAATCATATATCGACAAACTCCATATTTCCAAGAGGTGCAGTAAATAAATTCTGCTACACGTCATTTATTCCAGGATAACTAAATTTATGTTTTCAAAAATTATTAAGCGGTGCTGCGTTATGACATAATTTTAATTGAGAACAGTGCATCTGACAACGAACAAATACCTTTCAGATCCTCAATTATTTTGCAACAAATCTGATCTCTTAGTTTGCTTTCAGTCGATGCACGATACCGCATCAGATTTTTAAGGAATTTATCCTTAAGTAAAGCGATTTTTAATTTTTTGAGCGAAAACCATGCGTCGGACAAAGAAAACCCAGCAAATCAAATGTGCTCAAAAATGTATGGAGATTTTAAAAATAATTTTTAATTCAAGATAAAGCAGTGGCGTAGTATTTTTTTCGCCAAAAATATACATTTCAAAACTCGTACGTACGCCACTGGCAGAGGAAATTAAGAAAATTGTACATCAGAAAATGCGCCTTGAGGCATGGAACATATGTACCAAATATGCCAAAGATGTCTACAAAATTATCTCAGTTATTATTAAAAAACTGATTATTTTTGAAAACTTTGCCACCCTGTATCTCAAAAGTTAAGGTGTTTAGGACATACGTCCATAGGACGTTTTTTCCTTAAAATGGGTCAAAGAATTACCTCCATAAATATTAGCATGTGTTTAAGGAACACCCTGTATATCCACTTCACTCAATTTTAGGAAATCTTAGAAGTTGGGACAACTTTTTAACGAAAAGAAATATTTTTGCAATCTGGCAGTTGTTGACGAAAAAATGGAATGATGGTCAACATTATTTCGAAATCAGTCGGTTGCAAAAATATGTCGTGTATTGAATGAAATATTTTGAAATGACATATTCAAAAATATGCAATAGTCTCAAGTACTTTCATCGTGATTAAAAAAAATTGTTTGAAAGTTTATTTTTGATAGAATTAGCCTATATTCGATGAAAATCATGATAACGTATTTGATTGAAACTTTATTGTGAAATTTTTCTTAAATAGATTACAAAAACAATATGTTCATGCAACAGCTACTTCATGCGAACTGTTTGAAGAAGCAAAAATCTTTCAATACATTGTGAGTTTATATGTTGGATAATTATTCTACTTTTTTATCGGTAAACCAGGAATCTTGAATGAAATTATCAAGAATAAGTACATACAGTTTAGAATTTTTTCCAAAATCCACTTCATCAACTGGAATTAAAATTAGAGAATTGACGTAGAAGGAAATTATTCAACTTCAACATTATTCATAAAATTTTTTCATAAAAAATGGAACTGGAGGCCAAATATTTTATTTTTTGTAAAATTTCTAAGGTGAGTAGGTATTCTATTATTTATTCATATCCTCCTTTTCACAAATCCAATTATGAGAATATGTTGTTGCTTTACATACAAGACCCTTATCGCAATCATCTATTCGAGATATCCATATCCCGCGGCATTCGTCTCCTTCCCCTGAAAATAATTAAAATATGATACATAGACTTCTAATTTGATGATACAAAAATTACGGTCTCTCGACGCGAGTCGAGAGACCTGAAATGTTGAACGTCAAGTCAAAACTCGGCTTAATGTTGAGATTGATATTTATTTTGGCACAGCAAATACATTTGATAACATTGGTTCATCTAATACCTCAGTTCTGCCACAGAGAAACTGTAATACGAAAAATGTTACACATCTTCAGCTTGATCAGACGATGCTTTCAGTGATGATTACTATATTGTAGATAAATTAAATGAAGACTCCATTTGTGATACACAGGATGATCACTTTGAATTTTCAAGAAAAGGAAATATCAGAAAAATGTTCATTAAAGAATCTCAAACAAAACAATAGCGGTGAATACCAAGGAAAGTGGAAATGATATAATAAAAAAAGCCTTTGATGAAGTTGTTGATGGAGATGTTGATAGAAATTATGACAACTTTGGAATTGATACAGGTTTTGACAAAATCATTTTTAGAACAATGTGATAACTCAAAAACGCAGAACAAATATTGAAGAGTAAGTTTTAAAAACTACTGGGCATTAGATGATCTTTCTTGCCAAAGAGACTTCATAGCTTTATACATTAGGCATATATAGTCAAATTACTAGTAATAAAAAGAGGGAAGCAAGAGAAAACCAAACCATGATTGTTTATATAGTTTATATAGTATGACAAAATACCATCAGAGAAAAAACAGAAGTTTAAAGAAATTAGAATTTTCCCTCAACATTGCTCAGATGGTCCTTTGAAGAAATTCCACAAAGAACGACTTACTGAAGAAATTGTACAAACATATTCTCAACAAACATGTTATTTCTAGTTTCTGAACCCAATTTTTCAACTCACTATAAAAAAGCTTCATCTTGGTGGTTGTAGTTTTTACACAAAAAATTGCAAGACAAAGAAAGTACTTGAAATAAGTCGAAACACCAGGTTGTAATTCTATCAATCTGTTGTTTCTTTTATATTTTGTTATCAACACATTCCGAAAATTATCTTATTTACATAGTTATTAGAGGAAAAATGGCAACTCAGAATATTCCAAAGAATAATATAAAAATAATGAAAACAAATTTGCTTGTTTATTCAACATTTAGTGCGTATTTCGAATAAACTTTAAACCCTAATCGTAAATAATTTTTAAGAAGTAAATAGATTTTAATGAATTGATGGATGTTGCCATACTTATACAATATTGTATAAGTTTGAAAATCTCCTTATAGGACGAAACTGCAGTTATGTTAGTTACAAATAAAAGTGTTGAGAAACATAGAAAGTTTCGAATCTCTTTTCTTCATCAAATAGATTTTCAATTCGCTCTGTGTTGTGTTACTTTTCTTTTGAATGAGCGATATGTGGTACTTAACTATCGTCACACAATTCCACGAACTCCATTAATATGTGATTATGTTTACCTAAAACTTTCTTCTGGCATTTTTCACAGCACCCACAAACATCTAAAACCAAATTTTCATCTTCTCCGCAATACACTTTGGGACACACCAATTCATTACACGGTTGACAAGATGTTGCTTCGGTGGAAAAAGCAAAAAGTGAGAGCAAAGTCAAATACATAAGTTGCATAACTATTCTTGTTGAACTATGAGCCTTGGGTTGCATTGTAACTCTCTTATTATTGATTTATTTATAGTTGAATGGGATGTTCTTATCGGCAATTGCTGTTTTATGTAATCATAAGTACAGATGCAATTTTCAAGTTGGCAAAGAACGTCTTGGAAATGGTATATTACTGTACTTTCATTAGAGTGTTTCAAAAGTTTTTTTCGTTTTCATGAATTTACTTTAAACTGTAATATCTCAGGGAATTACTCATTCAATTCAATCGCAATAAGCGGCATTTGAATCATTGCACTTTTGCCAACGTAACACAAGTCGATAAGTTTCGTCTGCATAAAAATTGTATACTCGAGATTCGATGATGTCGATGAAGGCCGTTTTTGCCTGGTCCTGATTGGCGAAAGTTCTACCGGTGTGAAAGTGCTTGGAAAAATTGTAGTCGGTTGGCAAGAGGTCTGGGGAGTATGGTGGGTGCCGGCTGCTGCTGACGCAATTTTCGGTAAATTTCGTCGTTTTCCTCGCTATAGTTAGGATTAGGTTAGGTCCGAAGTGAGTGGGTCTATTCGACCCTCCACCACCATCCGCAAGGGTTTATTGTGACCCACACCTATTCACACTCGACCAAATAAAGGGTTTATTGTGACCACCTATTCACACTCGACCAAATAAAGGGTTTATTGTGGCCCACACCTATTCACACTCGACCAAATAAACCCAGCTTCTTAAGAAGCTGATTAGTTTATATGGTGAGTAGTCTTTCAGGTCAGAGGCACAAATAATATGCTCTACTGTTTCTTCATTTTCCAAACAGAGGCGACACACACTGTTCTCCGACAGTCCGAGTCTCGGCATATAATGATTCAAATGACAGTAACCTATAAAAATGTCTGTTAGACATCGTAGTTCATCCCTACTGTAGTGTAACAACTGTTTGGTATCAAGCTTCGAAGGGTGAATAAACGCCTTGGAGTGAGCCATTGATCTTCTTGCCATCCAGATGTTCAATGTTTGTTTGGCAAAGCCTAAAGCGATGCTAATGACAGGTTCTGGTCCGATGAAACTGCTTGCAGCATTCTTCTTTGCAAAGGAGTCAGCAGCCTCATTGCCTTCCAGGCCAGTATGGCCAGGAATCCAGACCAGAGACAATCTGATAAGTCTTCCTATTGAGGAGAGCCGTTTTAGGTAATTTGCTACCAATTTAGAAGTTGCTCGGTAGGAGCCAACAGCTTCCAACGCCGCTTGACTGTCCGAGAATATTTTTATTGACTTGTGTATGAGTTTCGATTCTTCCAATCTCTCTGCACACACTATAGTAACCTGCTGCGATGATTTGGCACGGTTACAGAAAGTTGTAGTGAATCACACCAGCCTCTGACCATCATATAGTAACCATGGTCTTTTCTGGTGGGTTTTCGCCTTTGGGAAGTGTCTGACGGGTGGCTCATTGGTGTCCAACCACTATCCTGAACGTCTTCTGTTGTAGTAGAGGATCAACTTTTTTTCACACGTGACGATCCGGTCCAAAAAAGGATCGTTTTTGTTACGCAAAAAGCAAAAAAAAAGACATATTTTGAAACGTGACAATTTCTGTTGATTGTTCAAATCGTGAGTCACCCACTTTTCGAGATCCTTGATCTTTTCAATACGTTTCGAACCACCAAAAACCGCATTGGAGCTAAAATCCACTTCTTTCGCCAATCCACGCATAAATATTTATTGAGATATGGAGATACAAAAACACATGTGGCATGTAAACCTACTATTTCAGTGAAAACCGTATCCAGCTGAGACATTTGAACTTCAGAACTTTGTCAACATTTCTAAACTCACAAGCACCGAATTGATATACAAGATGCCATCTTGAAAACATATCATTTTCGGAATGTTGTCCTTGATTTTCTGAATAGTAATAAAGTCTACTATCGAAGAAGTCTCGAAAAAATATTTCAAAAAACCTCTGCCTCAAGTTCTCCAGAACGTGTTTCATAAAAAATCGATTCAAAATGCCCTCAGAAGAAATCTGGAGGTGATAAGTTTTGGTGATCGTGATGGCCATTCTATTGATGTTCTTCGACCACTCCATCTGTAAAAAAATCTATCATTCAGCCACTGTCTAGAAAGTAATGTGATGAAGCTCCACCTTATTGAAAGTGAATAAGATTGTCTTGCAAAATTGTGTTACCAGCCGCATCAATTTGATTTTCCAAACTATCTTATTTGCTATTGGGGAGTCTATTATTTCTTCAAGCAGACTCAAGTAGAGCTCATCAGTTATATTTTTTTCGATGAATAAAGGCCCACTAATAGTATTCCCAAGAATATCAGCCCAATCATTTGCTTTCTCTGGATACTGTCTATGAACTTTCTTGAAAAGTTACCGTTTTTCACTGCTCCAGTAGCAGTTTGTTTGTTAACAAACCATTGGAAAAAACAAACACTTATCAGTAAAGCAAACATTGTGCCAAATATTTTGGTTAAAATCTTTCATTGTTCCACTAAATTCAATTTTTGGGTCCAAATCGTCGTCATTGAAAAATGTTCATTTTATACGGGTGAAATTTATTCAACTTCAGTGCTTTCCTTACTGTTTTGTGAAATATTCTTAACTTAGCGTGCCACAATGTGAGACGATGTACTCAAAACTTCTACTTTGTCCAAAACACGAAGGTTATTAACTTTTTCTTAGCAGCGGAACCAGTTTCACTCAACTAGCAATTAATTCAACCAGGAATCGCCCAGGAAATGATAAATGGAGAGTAATGTAACAAATAACCTAAGAATGCTTCACCTGGACCCTTTTTTACGGTATGTGGATTTTATTCAACACGTGAAATGTGACAACTTAGGTAGAAGGGCCAAATTAGTGATTGACGTTTATTTCTTTATTTTTTAACACAGTTTTATTGATTTCAATTCATTGAAATAATATCAAAGTGTTTTTGGTACTCAAACTTGTTCACTGTTTTTACCAGATTTTTCGTGAAATGCCAACAAGAAAGGTCGAATATGTGGTATTTTTGAAAATACAGCTGAACGACCTTCAGAATTAGGCATCACTGACCTACCATTTGTATTCAAGATTTTAGGGGTTGTTTTTGATCCCACTAGACGGTAGATGTAATTTAATTGAAAACTAGCCTACAACATGTCCCTCTTAAAAATTAGTATGACATTGATTGATTGTTTTTTTTTCTTTCTTTGGAAGATTGACACATTTTTTTTGTACGACGATGGAGTAGTAGAAAGTCAAAATCTTTCTTTTCCAAGTTTGACGTATTTTTATATTTTCTATAGGGGCTCAAATATGGAAGGGTGATATATTTTCAAATTATCAAACTGTATACTATTATTCTCAATGCACAGAAAAGAAAATACAATCATTAAAGTTTGAAGAATATGATCCCACGATTCAAATAATTTATGTTGGAATTTCATTTTTCAGTTATTCAGTTATCGAAAAAATAAGTGACTACCATAGTTTGAAATATTTATCAGACAACACATTGTAGGTTTCACATTGCGACTCTGTAACTGATTAAATTTCAATAAGAGTTTGAATCTCTCGGAAAAAAAATGTATCACTATTTTTCCAGGGTGGTCAGGAATGAGAGAAATGCCACCAGTAACAGTTGAATATCTGTTTCCATTTTTCAATTGAAAATATATTCCGTGAGATATGAAGTTATAAATTGTATTTTCAGCAGTTTACACATCAACGAAAAACTGTTATAGTACGTTTGCTGTACCTACCTAAATTAATTTGCTGATATATATTGAAGATTATATCACAATGGATTTTGAAAACACTGATTCTAAGGTAAAGAGATTTCAAAATATATTTCCAAAACAATGTCATTTTCAATTCAATTCTAAATGGAGATATGTTAGACTCTCACAAACCTTGTAAAACGTCTTCTTTTCATTTGACAATAATCCCCTATAATTCTAGTTCCGATTTTAATTTTAAAATTGGTGTGATGAAAATATTAAAACAATTCGAACAGAACAGCCTTTCTCAAGGCGTAGAATGATCACAAATTTCATTTCTTTTATGAGCATTCATACTTTCAAGATCTACCATAAAATAAAAACTAAATAGGAAGAACATTATTTTCGATATCCAGATAGTAAATTTCTTTCTGTAACGACATCTATGGCTCCAAAGTAGAGTCCACACCTAGACCACGAAGTTTTTTAATATGCCTATTTGAATACAATGCAACAATCATTTTTATCATTTTTTATTAGCATATTTTCTGGGAAAGAGAATAATGTGATACCTACAAATATAACATCAAAAGACTTCTGTAATGTACCGTCCTACGCCTTCCAATAGATAGTTCAGCTAGTGACTCATAGGTGGCGCCAGGGTGGTGTACTCGCGATGATGCGTCTGGGTCACGTGACAATTTGGAGCGCTCTGATTGGTCGCAGGATCCAAAATTGCCAGAATTAACCTCCATAAGAAATAACATGGTGTTTTGATTTGGAACTCTCCTAGACCCTTTACTACTTGATGTTATGTTTTTTCCTTTAAATAATGTATTTTGAGACATACCGTACACAGTCGTATTCCTAACCCTTCATTTTCAAACCGGCAACGCGACATTGCCCTATAAACAACGATTTATTGTACAACTGGCAACACCTGCTTGCGCCAGCAACCGGTAAATCTCGATACCATCTCCATCTCTCTTTGTATCGATTACGTCACACGCGTCTCTCGCTCTTACACACACATACACATCTTTACATGAAATATTAATTATTTTCCAAATCTAAGTATATTTTCCTATCTTCAATTTGATAATGAAGATTACAGTCTACGGAAATCAAAAAAAAATGCTGTCAAGTATAATGAATGAGTCAATTTCGGTCCCGACAAAACTAACGCCGTAAATACCCAACATTCGCAGTTACCTTCAATATCTTACGTTGGTGTAGAGGCTAAGGACAATGTCTACCGCGCGGACGGTCCAGACCACGAATCTCTTAACTATAAACTTTTTTTAATTTAAATCACGTGACTGGAACGTGACAAGGGGGCCGAGGGGTGAGGCAAAGTCGCAAGAGGGCCTGAGCGGTGATGTGGAGTACTAAGGGAGCTGATAGGTTAGGTGGAGTACCAAGGAGGCCGATAGGTTAGGTGGAGTACCAAGGGGGCCGAGGTGCGGATTTCCACGCTTAAATCGCTACGATACTCGTTCCAACCTGCGTCGATTTCGATGACGCTGATAGGTTAGCCCCACTCCCGGTGAGCCAGAATCGGTGTTGTTCATCTACTTTGTTTTATCGGCAAACTAGCAAAAACTTTCAAAATCACCAGGACATTGTTCTCACACGAAAAACTGTAGATATATTTTATTTGATAAGCAAATCGTTATTCAATTATATTTTATTTTTTGACAAGTCCCATAAGAATATGGGACCCTTATCACAAGCATTTGGTCGATTTACCCATGGTCCTCGGCAATTGTCCCCTTCTCCTGAAATCAATAACAGATACATGTTTCTCGGTGAATGTTACAAGTTCGAACTTGTATTTTCTAAAATTGTAGAATTGTCTAAATAAGATACTATGTGAATGCGACAAATAAACAAAAGACCTTTGAAAATACATATTGACGAGCATAAGAAAAACATATAGGTGGCGAATAAAAACCAGCAAATTGGGAATAGCGGAGCATGTTTGGATACATCAACATAACAACAAGTGCTCCGAAGCTAATATCATGATCACGAAGAAAAAACAAATTTGATTGGAACAATATAGACAAAACTTCATTGTCGAATAGGGCAGTTGTGTAAAAGTTGAGTGAGAACCATGTTTCAAAAAATAATCTTTTGCCATAGGCGCCTGACATTTGGAAGAGAAAAGTTTGAAACTCAATATTTTAGAATGCTTAGAAATTAATAGATTTACGAATTCGTAGAATTGACTGAATAACCAAATAGAATAGAATTTTTACCTCATATTAAATCTGTTTTCTAATGTGAAAGTTGGTAATTGGTTCGTTTGTTTTTATATATATCACTTAATGTTTAACCCATTCACTAATTTATTTTCATTTCTGGTTACAATAGTTTGTTCTCTTTAGTAATTGGCGGTTGCTTCTTCATTTTCGACACTGTTTCTATTCATCAGTCCGATTATTTTTAGTATTTCAAATAAATTCAACATTTCATTCTTTTGATTTGTTCTTCCATAGATTTCTAATGTGTTAACATCTTTTTAGACAATGGAACAATGATCAGATGCAATTTTATCAATATAAGGCGTATTTTTCACCTAATTTCATTTCATTCATCTTTGTATCACTTGTATTCCTTGTTTATTTGAACTTTGGTAATACGTTTATATAACGTATATAATATACTTTTCAAGTAACTAATTTTGACATTGTCGCTCACCCTGTACCAATTGGAAGCAACTTGTTATACATGTTTGGAATCAAATCAGAAAGGTTACTCCCAGATTTCGAAAAAATCATATAGCCAATTTGAAAAAATCGTGATGATGTATTATGCTCCAAGCTAGGCCACCCTGTTTATTAATTATCATTTCGAAAACAGTCGATAAAATAAAAATTGACCCATCCCAGATATTTTCAATAATATTATTTTTGTGTATTATGTTGATTATTGATAAATTGTTCGACTTTTGATTAAAGTGAACATAAATTTTACAAAATATGAAAGCATACAACCACATTTGCTCTTTTTCTGTTTACATTTTCTATCGTTATGCTATACTTTTCACTATCGATCAGTATATCTGTTTAAAAATCTGTTTAAAATCTGTTTTTCCGTTGAATCAGCTGTCGCCCCCATACGAACGACAACTCTCAGAAGTTGAGAAACTTTTGCGAGCTAAGGACTAACGAGGTCTTACCTTTTAACGTGTGATTCCGTGACACAGTAGAAAAAATATTTATTGAGATATGGAGCTACAAAAATACATGACAGTAAAACGGACCAAACTTTTGAAACAGATCACCCTTGAAACAAACCTAGTATATATGCATTTTTGTACAACTGTCACTAAAAGTGACATTTTTAATGGTTGTTAAGAGTATTAAAAGATGATGTTTACAAAGAAGCGTGTTAAAACATTAATTACGTTATTATTATTTATACTTCACTTTGAAGTGAAGAGAACGATACTGTAACGCTGGAGCTAGCTGTTGGGATTATTCTTTCATCAATAGCCTTTTTATATGAAATATGTAACCCTCAGCTTCTGTTGTAGACTACCATCCTCCGTGCTTCTTAATATCCAGAGCAAATGCATTAACATGGAAATAGTTAACCAAAAGAGATGTCAAAATGTGTTTTTTATAGAAATATCAAATGTATCTATGTTATTATGAAAAAAAGACAATGGTATAAAATACTTTGTATGATACTTGTGTTGAAAGTAAGTTTTATTTTGTTCGTGAAATTGCTCAACTCGCTATGCTCGTTTTTTTCACTCACAAAATCTGTTTAAAATCTGTTTTTTCGTTAATCAGCTGTCGTCCCCATACGAACGACAACTCTCAGAAGTTGAGAAACTTGTGCGAGCTAGGGACTAACGAGGTCTTACCTTTTAACGTGTGATTCGTAACACGGTAACACTCACAAAATAAAACCTTATTTTTAATACTTATATCATAAATAACTATTTTGTACAACTGTCATTGAAAGTGACATTGTCAAAAGTATTAAAAGATGATGTTCACAAAGCAGCAAGTTAAAAATATTTTTAACATGTTAAAAGTGAGTATTTTTAACATGATTTTTTCGACCAAATAGCAATAAACAAAACATAATTATTCAATTTTCAAGGAAGTATTATTATGAACAATAGATATAGGTACAATTAAATTATGTTAAAAGTGTATTATATACATTAAACACCAGCAATAACTTTAAATTTTTTATAGAAATATCAAATTCATCTATTTTATTATGAAAAAACACAGTGGTACAAAAAACTTTGCATATTTCAACCTTATTACCTTAGTACCTAACAAATTGTGTGAAGATGTTTCGAAAACGCTTGATGATATCAAAATATTCAATGCAACAGATTTGAATTTGAATAATATTTATATTTGATTCATGTTTACCTAAAACTTTCTTCTGGCATTCTTGACAACATCCACAAATATCTGTAATCAAAACCTCATCTTCTGCGCAGTAACGTTTGGTACATTGCAGCATACCACATGGGTAACAGTAAGGTTTCGCTTTGATGGAAAAAACAAAAATTGAAAGCAAAATCAAATACTTGAGTTTCATAGCTATTGTTGTTGAAGTATGAGCCTTGGATTTTATTCTTCTTGTTATCGGCAGCTGCAGTAATAAATAAAATATATCAATGCGATTTATATAAACATAAATATAGGCAAGGCACCAGATAACGTTTTAAAAGTTATATACCGGGTGGCCTATCAAAAACGTATCGCAAGACATACAAAGCGGGAAAGAACTTGACCGGAAAAGCCACGTCAAGTTTTTTCTGAAGGGGACAACTTTTGAAGCAAGAAGTATATCAATCGGAACGCGGAGCTCTTCATTCAACGGCATCCTGACAAACATCCTTCTGTGGGAAAAATCTTGGCAAATTGGTTATCAAATTTCCCGAAATATAAAAAAAAATCGCGAGAAGGAGGCTCCGTTCAAACTAAGAAGAGGTTGCTTGAAAATCCATTACTGAATGAACATACTTAAGGAGATTGCAGTGTAGGGGCATTGCAATGGATTGACGTCAAGTAGTAGGTAGCTTTGAAGTTTGTCTGGCCAGGTGTAAGAACCGTTGAAACTGCCCAGTTACTGGAGGCTACATGTAGTTACCCGAATAACAAATATGTGGCATGTACAAAGCTCAGCTTTCACACGTACCTACACACATAAATGTCATTAACTGGAAAAAATGGTTCCGACTCAAATAGTTAGTAAACCTACCAGAGTCACGCTCACATCAATTACACTCATTGATTGTATTATAGTATCGGATTCCAAAAATATTGGGGTTGTTTCAGTATCAAAAATCTCACATCAAAAAATGGCATGTGTTGAAATCAATGTCAGCTTTAGGAATCATATGTTAAAAGGTAAGATTTTCATAGATTTGAGTAGGATTTCTTTGATTCTGATAATTCGTCCATGTTATGTAAATAATAACTAAGATCCTGTTTTCCACATCTAGAATAAATTATTTGTTGTGGCGAAGAAGGCTCTTTCCCAAAAATATGGAAAACTGCACTTGTAGTTCCCATCTTCAAAAGTGGTTATAAGTTATTGTATGAAAACTTTCGCCCTATATCGAAACTCTGCTTGATTTCCAAACTTTTCGAATCAATCATTTGTGACTATATATGTATACTTTGATGTTGGATCCTCAATCAATAATGAACAGCATGGATATGTAAAATATCGCTCGATTGAAACCAATTCAATTATTTATACTGAATATCTCTTAAAGAGCATGGATAAAAGCTACCAGGTTGATGCCATCTATACAAACAGCAACTAAAGAAAACATCTGAAGTCAAGGACTTAGGATTATTATATGACTTTAAGCTATTATTTGACTCGCATATTAACTATATTGCAAAAAAAGCCAACAAAGCTCTTGGATTTCTGATCAGGACTTGTCACGACTTCCGTAATACTAACTCTGTTCGTACACTTTACATGGATCATGTATATAGCTAGCTCAGTTCTGCTTCAGTTATTTGGAACCCCCTGTATATCTCATATATTGAAAGACTTGAATCTATACAAAGCAAATTCGTCACTCATATCAATATATCAATTCTTTAATAATCTCAAAGATCCATAACAAATTAAAATACAACTCAATCTGATATCTTTAGCGGATAGACGCCAAATAGCTGATATTAAGTTCCTAAAAAAAATAATAAATAATTGTTGGACAGCAGTTCTATATTGAACCAACTTTTGACAAATGTGCCTCTGTATAATACCAGAGGATTTTATTCATTCCAAACAAATCAAAGTAAAACTAATTACTATTTGAATTCTCCCCTAAGTAGGTGTTGTAAATCCTATAACTCTATATCCAAATGAATAGAAATTGACATCTTTTCTAATTCCCTCGCAACCTTCACCACGTCTCTCAAACGTTCATACAATCATCAGTTTCATATCTAACTATTGTAATTTGAACTGCACTGCACTGTTCATAACACGATATTGCATATAATTTATAACAATCAAATCATTTATTGTTATTTTCACCTCATCATTGGTGAAAACTCTTTTTGGGTTTGTCCCGTTTTGTATTCCACTGAGAATATATAAATAAAAGAATAAATAAACATAAATGTTTCACTCACTTCCTCAAAATATAAATGTCCTGGGAAAATGGCTTCATTATATCTAATAACGTGGTTTAGATTATTGAGCTTGATAACCCCTGTACGTTTCGATTAGCTTCCGCGCGAGTGGTCCCAATATATAACTCTCTCACTACAATTCATTGATCATTTCCTGCCCTTGCTTCCTAGACCCCCGCAATGTCAAGCAATTCCCGCTTTCTACAGAGTTATTTCACTATCTTCCAACAATATTTCTCTCAGTTGATCACTCAAACGCCAATGGTGAGCATAATGCAAACCGATGAATCTTTCAAATCACCGAATGCTCAACTTTCTGCCTTGTTTTTCAAATCTAATATGAACCGTTATGAACTTTTTCCTTCCATGTTTTACACACATCCTTTGGGTAATGTGAAATTATTGGTCAACAATATTATCAATAGTTCTAAATATTTTTTCATAAAATCGTCAGGATAATTCAAATAATTATTTAAATTCAATAATAATAATATTATAATGATAATAGAATTTATTCATCAATCAAAGGTTAAACAAGGCATTATACACACACACACACATGCATAACACTTATCAGACTAGGCAACAAAGAAGAGAAGGTAATCTACAAATGAATTGTTAAGATAGTATCTATAAGTATAGTCGCAAAACAAACCAGAAAAATTTTACATACAATAGTCAGTCTCACAATTATGAGATATCACGAATTATGAAATTCTTCAACATTATAAAATACTTTTTCAAGAAGAAAATTTTTCAACTTATTTTTGAATAGACTGTCATTCAGATTCACATCTATCAAATCTCTTATTTTATTGAAACACCTGATACCAATATGCTTTGGTGAATTTTCACAGACTGATAACCTTGAATAGGGTTGTTAAAGTTTTTCTTTATTCCTAGTATTATACATATTATGAGTGTCTTCATTCCTCATTAGTTCATTTTGGTTACGTTTTATGTACCTACATAATCAGTTCAAGAATATATAAACATGGAAGGGTTAGTATTTGGAGATTCTTGAATAAAGATTTACATGTTGTGGTTTGATGAGCATGATGAGCCTTTTCAAAATGACAGGACCCCTAGAAGATCACGCCATATTGTAGAGTGGACTGTACCATTCCAAAATATAATAGTCTCAAGATGTCTGCTGATACAGTATCTCGCAGATTTTTTATTATATAGCATGTAGTGCTTAGTTTCGAACATACAGTATTTATGTGTGCTTCCCATGTTAGCTTACTATCCAAAGTAACACCTATGAACTTGATGGTTTTCATAGATTGTATAGATTCACCAGATAAGGTTAAGTATAGGTCATAATTTGGATTCATGTTTTTTGGCAAAAACCGGACATGATTCAGGCTGAGGCCATTCTTAAGGCTATACCTTTCTATTTCATTAGATGCCTTGTTACTTAATTTTGTTAATTGATCAATGTTATTGTGTGACATCAGAATATTAGTGCCATCGGCATATAATATCATTTGATTTGCGAATTTACAGGTGTCTTCAATTTCACTCAGAAAAGCTACAAACAATAGTGGTCCCAGGATTGAACCCTGTGGAACCCCTGAATTTATTACTCTTGACTTTGACTGATTATGAATAACACACTACATCCTTGTATGATTCTTCCAATGTTGAAAACATTCCTACTTGTCTATGCTCAACACCAAAAAGCATATTTAGAGAATTCTTAAAAATATTGAAATTACAGTTTTATAGTTTAATTGAAAAACCGATGTAGAGGATTTACGACTTGCCATATCCACTTATTTGAGTTAGATGTCACATCGGTAGCAAAAAAAAACAGTTTCATTGGATATAACACAGTATAAGAGAATATTTGTTTTAGCAGTGATCCACTCTTCCACCGTTGGCATTGTTTAAAATGCCGTCTAGTATAAATAAATCCAAGTTACACAAAAACTTGTAAGAAAGATCCAAAACGCTCACTAGAACACAAAGTGTACAGAAGTTAGTTGATGAAATGTCGCATGAGATACAAGAAGACATTTGACGAACTCTATATTAAGCATTTAAGAATGGTAAACAGCGTCTATTAACATATTTTCCAAGGAAAGTTTAGCCCTTTTTTTATCAACTTGCTATGCCGGCACTTCTATGAATAGGATAGGTGTTTTTAGGGTATTGTTAAGAAACATAATTCTTTCTATCCTGCTGTATATGGAGAGAAGAGTTTTTCTCACTTATGCTGAGAAGGGGTAGAGGTAAGTTGAAAATGACTAAAATTATACTTCTGTAGTATTTGAATGATCCCAATGCTTGGATTTCTTTTCAAGAGAAAAAACTGGATGCGTTAGGAATCACACGTTAAAAAGTAAGACCTCGTTAGTCCTTAACGTAAAAACAGATTTTTTTTTAACAATAAAAAAATCAATGTATTTGAAGTGCACCAAAGGCCTATCAATACATAAGTTTCCCCAAGGGATACATTTGATATTTTCTCCAATAGACATTTTTGGACACGAATCAAATGTTTTTGTAGATATTCTTAAACATGAGTGAGTACACAGAAGACAATCTAGAACCTGTTCGTCATAACCTTACTGCACTGTCAAATCACAATGGGACTACTTAGAGTGGACATTACACAGTATATTGTAAACACCCATCCATAGGCAAATGGTATGAATACAACAATTCAGGAGTGTCATCAATTTCACCAAAATCTGTTGTGAGGGGAGAGGTGTATATTCTTTTCTATGAACTTTTTCTTTCATTTATATCAAATGTATTTAATCCAACTTTTTAAAAAAAGTATAGTGGAATTATTGGTGAAATGACAAAATCTAACTTCTATTGTCTATCAATGCAATAGCATATTTGAATGTGATTTTTAATTCTGATGAACTTTTTCGATAATAAAATATATTTTTACCAAAATAATTTGATTGGGTTCCAATTTTCTGAGACATACTGTATTGAATAGTCTCATTTCAAGAAACTTTCATGACTTTCATCATTGCTTGCTTTCAAGTCGCACAACCTGTAGTTAAAAAAATTATCAAAACTATTTTGTATTCATTTATTAATACTACTATAATATTCTTCTTCGAGATCATATAAATCTGCAGCCATATCATCCCTCAGAGACATCAGTTTCTGGTCACATTCTGATTGTTTGGTTCTGAAATAAAAAAAGAATGAAGTTACTAACTTTGAAGTGATAAGTACTAGATAATTCACATTCATGTTCACTCATACAATCGCTATGAACGACAACCCTCATAAGTCGAAACTTGTGCGAGCTAGGGATTAACGAGGTCTTACCATTTAACGTGAGAGACTTTCCAGGAAATGAAATTGTGAGATTTAAAGATTATAATGTTCATTGTAAATTAATACAGGTACATATTATATGAAATGTTGTTGGGACAAATATAATTTCTTGGTTTGAGGTGAGGTTTTTCTTATTTACATGTCATTTGCTGATGAAAAGTTAGGACAAAGTGGGTCAAAATAACAGAAAGTAGAACATTTATGAGGCCCGAATTGACCTCTTTCGAAGCCTGCAATCCAATTTTATATGGCACTAACAAGACTGTAGTATTCTTATGGGGATAGGAAAAACTTAAAATACATTTCCAAATCAAAGTGAAAACGTAAAATTCCTACAAGCATGGATATCATGTCAATATGAGAAACTCTCTCATTTGGAGAGTTGATTAAACAGATGTCAATATGCAATTACGCAGGAAAACAAACTTAATTTTCCTGAGGAACACTCATTACAAATTCACAAAAGAACAAAAATAATTTTGAAATAATCACCTAAGTGCTTTCTTACAAAACATGGTTTTCACTCTGCCACTGGGTTTATAACGACCAAGCAGGACTATCGTATCCAAATATGACTTGAAATTTTGATCTGAAATATGATTGTATATATGCAAGTATTTCTTTTATTCAAAATTTCAGAGTATATTAGTTGTGTAGGTTTTTGGGAAAGAGAGATATTGACATTCTACTTCTCCAAGTGACGATTAAACCGGTAACAGGGCAAATGGAGACATTATAATTTGTTGCTACAGTAAGGCAATATTTTGTTCATCCAAGAAATTGGTCTAGGCTCACAAGACATCAATACATCTTTCTACTTTATATTTCTTACCTGAAAAGTTTGGAGTTATGCGTTATCGCTTCATTTACCGAAGGAAAGTCATTCAAGATGAGATATTGTTTGATGTCTGATACCAATTTCATGAGTGACTCCCCAGCCCGTACTATATTTGCCGCTCTAACATGCATTTCGTATGTATCTTGCTCACACTGAGTCATCCTTGAAAGTTGAGTATCGTGCTCTCCCTTGGATAGTTTTACAATTTCTGAAAAAAAAACAGTTCAAAGAATCAGTGTGTTTAAACAATGATAAAATAAACAGAGATGGTTCAACAAGAAAAGGTTGAATAAGATAAAAGATGAGAGCCAATGAGTCTCAATACTGTATCTCTTTGAAACAGTCCTCATCTTTTTCAATTACAATCGTGTAATTAAAGTAAACAGCTCTAATGAAGAAAAGAGAAATGAAACTTTCTATGTTTTTTACCACTTTCAAACTTATACAATAAACTCCTTGTATAAGTTTGAAAATGTCAGTAAAGGACAAAACTGCAGTAATGTTAGTTACAAATAAAACTGGTAAAAAACAGAAAGTTTCATTTCTCTTTTCTTCAATATGATTTCCTACCGCGTAGTAACGGCTACATCCATCAATTTATTAAACAGCTCTAATTTACCTTCAAAGTTTTCCAGCATACTCTTAACGTCATCTTTCAGTCTTGTTCTGTAAGTTTTTAATAAGGCTTCTTTACTTTGTGGAAGTGATCTTGAGATTGACATCTTTGTTTAATTTTTGTTTGATTCTTAAAGTTATTCTACTCTGCCTAAAACCAGAATCAAAATAAACATAACCATCAATGAACAGTCGACTTATGGACCATATTAGTTAGGTTAGGATTTTTCGAGCGCGAAATTCGAACTCAGGTCCATCACGGAAACCTGACATTTAATTTCCCATGTAAATCTTATGGGACTAACAGTCATTACAAATATTTTTTTCACTTGGGTTCTCCTTATACATAAAACACTTTACAGTGAGTTCATGACGAAACTCCCATCGAGATGTAAAATTGAAACATGTATCCCTAATTCTTTCTCATCATTTACCAACTGCAGGTTTATAATTGACTGTACAGAGATAAAAATTGCAAATTCAAAGTATATGAACAGGAAGAAACAAACCTACAGCAATTATAAGCATGCAAATACTTATAAAGTACCTATTGGTGGGAGTTACCCCAAATGGCGTTATAGCATTTGTAAGTAACATGTTTCCTGGTTCAACGTCAGACAAGCGAATATTTTTGATGAGTAAATTGAATAATCATTTAGAACCAGGAGATATGCTACTTGCAGACAAAAGCTTCCTAATTCATGATGTTTTGAAGCCTGGAGTGACCAATAATGTGCCTTCATTTCTATTGAGCAATCAGTTCACTGAAAGTGAATCCATGAGGACATTAGAGATAGCAAGAGCCAGAATTTAGCTAGCTAGAAGCTATAGGATCAAAAATTTTGGAATTTAGAATTTAATTCCTGGTTCAATGAAGAAATTTTCTTCTGTAATATTTCAAGTTATATGTTCTCTTGTTAACTTACAAAATCCTTCAGTTGAAAATATTGTAGAGGAAAATGAATGAATTTTCATTTTACCTTTTTTTAAAGAAACGATTGAATGTTAAGTTTTTACTTTTCCAGAGTTTTTAGTATTTAATAGAATGACCTTTTTTTATAGAATTATTTTTTATTATCAGAAAGTTGTTTTTTTTTGGTTTCTGCAGATTCTACTTTTTTCAGAGTTTTCTTTTTCTTGTCCTACACAATATAGTTTGAATAATTCATATTTGCTACGTGTATTGAAATGAAAGATGATTTAATTTAGGTTTTCATATGACTATTTTTCAACTTTTTTTCTCTGAGTCAATATAAAGAGAATACAAGCTTTCTATGCTTTGGCGTTGAAATAAATTGAGCTGAAGAATTTCACTGCCATTATATCAACTCGTTACATACTTCCTGCATATGAATTAACTTAGGATTATTTCAGAATATATCTGATATGAATTTTTATATAAAAATCAGCAAATCAATTAATTACATGTTTTCTCATTTCTCAAACGAAGCAAAATGAGTATTGCAGTCGATGCCGTTAACTCCGTAAAAATCGCTTGTTGGTATTTTTGTTGCTGAAAACTTGCCAACAGGGAGGGTATCAGAAATTAAATTGAAATCTGAACCGGTTAATTTGTCATCAGAATATGAGTTTGAATGCAATGACATTTTTTCTTGGAAATTTTGGGCAGCCTCAACCTTCATCATTTCATTCAAATTATCATCGAGAAACTTCATAAAAAAAAAATTAAAAATTCATGGTAACACTTGTTTCATGTTTATTCAGTTTGCATTATCTGTTTTCAGTTTTTGCAGTGCAATTGGCATTACTGCCGCTCGATTTTCTTCACCGCACTGCCATCTATGATTTTATAACATAACTATTAATTCAAAGGAGTTCAACAACTATATATTGTTGAGGAAATCAACGGAATTCAAAATTAAACATCATCTATACTCATAAGTCCATCAATTCCATTCATGTTTTCATTATAATATCATGAGGGACTACTCATTTCTCTTCTTGTAAAATCACTTCATAAAAATCCTTAAGTTCGAATCAAGTAACTACATTTGTATAAAAATTCAACAGATGACATAGATATTCCACTTTTTATTTTAACAATTTTTCATCAAAAATTATAAATGCATTTCAGTCTAAACCTTAACGGTTAAAATACCTTGTACTTCATTTCTAGTAATCCTCAAAACTTCAATATCAATGAATGTAGTCGTAACTGGACAGTTATCCAGCTAATAAACCCTTAAAGTATAAAAGAAGAAGAAATCTAGGTATCACTATTAAAAGCCCTATTTATAAATTTCTACTGACAGGATAGCCTCAGTAGCTGAGGCCATACCATGAATTAGAAGAAGAAATTGTTTACATATAAGTCGACCGATCACTGGTTTTGTTTATTTTGATTCTGGTTTCAGGCCTAGTAGATTAACTTCAAGAATCAAACAAAAATTAAACAAAGATGTCAATCTCAAGATCACTTCCACAAAATAAAGAAGTCTTATTGAAAACTTACAGAACAAGACTGAAGGATGACGTTAAGAGTATGCTGGAAAACTTTGAAGGTAAATTAGAGCTGTTTACTTTAATTAAAGGTTAAGGAAATTTCAAAAAATTGTAGTTAAATAAGCTGAGGACTGTTTCAAAGAGATATAGTATTTAGACTCATTGGCTCAGATCTTTTGCCTTTCCTAACCTTTTCTTGTTGAACTATCTCTGAATTATTTTATCATTGTTTAAACACACTGATTCTTTCAACTGTTTTTTTTTCAGAAATTGTAAAAGTGTCCAAGGGAGAGCACGTTACTCAACTTTCAAGGATGACTCAGTGTGAGCAAGATACATACGAAATGCATGTTAGAGCGGCAAATATAGTACGGGCTGGAGAGTCACTTATGAAATTGGTATCAGACATCAAACAATATCTCATATTGAATGACTTTCCTTCGGTGAATGAAGCCATAACGCATAACTCCAAACTTTTCAGGTAAGGAATATCAAGTACAAAAATTTATTGATGTCTAGTTGGCCTAGACCAATTTTTTGGATGAACAAAATATTGCCTTACTGTAGCAACAAATTATAATAACAATAAGATAGATAAACGCAAACTAAATTTTCAAGTTATTCCTAATCAAAGTATTCCTAATCTAGTTATATCAAGCTTTTCAAATTTAGCAATTGTATAAGTGGACATGAATGTGAATTATCTAGTACTTATCACTTCAAAGTTAGTAACTTCATTCTTTTTTTTATTTCAGAACCAAACAATCTGAATGTGACCAGAAATTGATGTCCTTGAGGAATGATGTGGCTGCAGATTTATATGATCTCGAAGAAGAATATTATAGTAGTATTAATAAATGAATACAAAATAGTTTTGATAATTTTTCTAACTACAGGTTGTGCGACTTGAAGGCAAGCAATGATGAAAGTTTCTTGAAATGAGGCTAAACAGTATGTCTCAGAAAATTGGGACCGAATAAAATTTTTTTAAAATATATTTTATTATCGGAAAAATTTCATCAAAATTAAAAATCACGTTCAAATATGCTATTGCATTGATAGACAATAAAAATTAGATTTTGTCATTTCACCAATATTTTCACAAGAAATAGTTCATAGAAAACCATATACGCCTCTCCCCTCACAAGGGATTTTGGTAAAATTGATGACACTTGTGAATTGTGAATGGGTGTTTACAATAATGTCCCATTATGATTTGACAGTGCACTTAGGTTATAACGAATAGGTTCTAGACTGTCTTCTGTGTAGTCACTTATGTTTAAGAATATCAACAAAAACATTTGATTTGTGTCCAAATATGTCAATTGGAGAAAATATCAGATGTATTGCTTGGGGAAGCTTATGTATTGATAGGACTTTTGTGCACTTCAAATACAGTGATTTATACTAGACGGCATTTTAAACAATTCCCAAGCGTGAAAGAGTGGATCACTGGTAAAACAAATTTTCTCTTATAATGTGTTATATCCAATGAATCTGTTTTTTTTTAATTAGCAATGTGACATCTAACTCAAATACGTGAATATGGCAAGTCGTAATTCCTCTACATCGGTTTTTCAATTCAACTATAAAACTGTAATTTCAATATTTTTGAGGATTCTCTAAATATGCTTTTTGGTGTAGAGCATAGACAAGTAGGAATTTTTTTAACATTGGAAGAATTATACAAGGATTTAGTGTGTTATTCATAATCGTTGAATTTAAATAATTATTTGAATTATCCTGACAATTTTATGAAAAAATATATAGAACTATTGATAATACATATATAACAATACACATAAAACAATAATTTCACATTGCCCAAAGGATGTTTGTAAAACAGAAGGAAAAAGTTTACAACAGTTCATAATAGATTTGCAAACAAGGCAGAAAGTTGTGCATTCGGTGATTTGGAAGGTTCATCGGTTTGCATTATGCTCATCATTGGCCTTTTGAGTGTTTATTCAGTTTGCCCTATCTGTTTTCAGTTATTACAGTGGAATTAGCATCCCTGCTGCTCGATTTTCTTCATTGCACTGCCATCTGTGATATTATAACATAACTATTCAATCAAAGGGGTTGTTGGAAATTAATTTCGCTTTTGAACGTACGATGTCAGAACTAAATTGAATTTTGATACCTATTTGATGCGGTTTCTGAATGTATCAAATAAAAATAAACCGATTGAAAAGTTGATAATACACTCTTAAGATTCATGAACCATGTACCTAATCCCCTCATTTTGATAGGTTGAATTGGAACCTCTGTTGTTAAATAAATATAACGACGATACTTTTCCACACTGGAACTTTAGTCGCTTGTTTTGATACTCAAAGTTAGCATCATCAGAATATAAGTGAAATTATAATTATATATGATGAGTAATACATTTCATTTTGAATCTTTCTTTTTTTATTTAATATACATAACCGCATCAACTAGAAGAGTTATTAGCGGTGTAGTACAATTTGAATCACATTACAATCATATTAGATGTATAATATTTATAGATATCAGATACTTTAGTGAAATCTCAAATTTATCTGGGTTCAAGGCATCACTGGAGTTCTTCAAGTAGTCGTATTGACAACCTCTCCTCTCTTGATGATATGTTTCATATCTAATTCTTCATCACAGGAAATACATCTTTTGGGGTTTTCTTCCTTTAGTAGATGCTGGTGGGTATACCTTGTGTGGCCAATCCTGAGACAGGTTAGAATTGTCTGATGTTTTCGAGAGGAAATTTTTGAAGTTTAAGCTATAGGATTGATTGTTTTGAGCTGGCCACCTTTCCCTCCATGTATTTATTGTTAATTATCGTATTTTATGGATCAAATCTTCATGTGGTACACAGCGAGTCGATAGACTGTGTGGGTTTGAGCTAATCTCTCTAGTTTGTGTGTCAGCAGTTTTGTTGCCAACTATTCCTACGTGCGAAGGAACCGAAACAATTTTGATACGTTTTCCCATCAAGGTTAGATTTCCCAGTTCTAGTAGTTCACATACTTGAAGGCCACTTCAAAGAAAGCTCTTATTACGTGCCTTGCAAAAGTATTATTCTTGAGATAATGGGTCACGTTGATATTGCAATCAGGAAGGGCTATTGTTCATGGAGGAGGTATCTTTATGTTCAGAGGGAGAATATTAAGATTTAATGTTGGTTTATTTGTTATTTTGGAAGTCCTGGCGTAAAGAGGAAGTTGTGAATTACGGTAGTGCTCAAATGTTTCACTGAAGCGAATAGAAAATGTATGATAACTAGGATTATTTTTATTTGCTATTTTTGCTGCATATATTAAGATTAGGTTGAGTCGACGTAGTTCGAGAGGTGATTCTCCCGCCTCAACAAGTGAACTTTCCACAGGACTGGTATAGAACGCCCCATAGCAATTATCATAGCTGCATTCTGGATGACATCTAGGGACTTCAAAAGAGATGTTCTCGCCGTATAGTAAGTGACGGATCCGTAATCCAGTTTGGTTCTAATTAATGCTCGATAAACCCGCAGCAAAGTAGTACTATTGACTCCCCATGTGTGATTAGCTAATACTTTCATTAGATTTAGGTCATTTTGTCAGGACTTAAGATTTTTGATGTGAGTGTCCCATTTTAGTTTGCTATCAAAAGTGACACACATAAATTGAATTTCGTCTACAAATTCCAGTTCTGATTATTCAATTCAAGAGAGGGTAAACCATCTGCCGTTTTCTTTGAAAATACAACACATTTTGTTTTGGTAGAAAACTTAAGTAATGTCCGTTCCGACCACGATTGAAGTTTTCTTAGTGCATTTTGTAATTGAGTATGTATTGTGATCACATTCTTTCCTGTTGCATATACAACTAAAACATCTGCATATAAATTACCCCTCACTGGCTTTTTGATACCATCTAAAACGTCATTCATGGCTATGAGGAGAAGAGTAGCACTGAGTGCCGATCCTTGAGGACTGCCATGGTTTCAGATAATTTACCATCAACTCTAAAAAAAAAAAAGCTATTTAACAGAAAAGTATATATGAGAGCAAGCATATTTCCTTGTATTCCCCATTGATTAAGTTGATTAAGAACTTTGCGTCTCCATACTGTATCGAATGCTCTATTTATATCAAAGAAGACTGCAATAAGGCATTTTCTATTCGCGAAGGCTTCATGGATATCTGGCTGTAGATTTACTAGGTTATCTGTGGTCGAATGATACATACGAAAACCACTTTGCCGAGGAATATTCAGGTTATTTTGTTCCAGATAGTACTAAAAAAAATCAGTTTTTCCTTTAACCAGCTGTCGCACCCCTACGAACGACAACCCTTAGAAGTCGAAACTTGTCCGAGCTTAGGATTAACGAGGTCTTACCTTTTAACATGTGATTTCTAACACGGCATTCAGTATTCTTTCCAGCAGTTTACACATGGTACATGTTAGAGAGATGAGCCTATAGGACTGTTTATTTGTATGTGATCTGTTCGGCTCTTTAATGAGTAGTACAATTGCTTCCAACCAATTGGTAGGCATTCTTTGTGAGTGAAATATTCCATTGTATACTCTTAGAAGATATCGCTTTTCTTTTGGGGAAGTTTAATAAGGTACATAAGGTATATCGTCTGGCCCGGGGGTGGAGTTGTTGACTTTGGATAAGACATCTTCCAATTCATCGATCGTTATATCATAATTCAAGGGATTCTCCACCTTAGTCTCGATATTTAATGGGTGTGTCTCGATAGTTTCTTTCATTTCTAAAAAATCAGGATCGTAATTCGCATTACTTGAATCTTTCTCTTTTCAAAGAGTCGAGGCATTGCGAAGAATTGTCGAGACCGGTACACGAAAACAGGTTTCAAAAGCTTGGAAATTGAAAAATCCGGAATGGGTTTTATGAAAAGCGACAAAGGTCCTATTTCAAACAGTCCTCTGTTTGGTCTTACATAATAACTATAAATAAAAAACCGATAAATATTAGAGATGGTCACTATTATAACGGAAATATATAACAAATTAGAGGTATTAAAAACAGGTAGTTTACCATAGGATCAATCACAGGTAGTACTTAGCTAGTGGTAATCGGTGAAGTTAGGTAATATTATCAGGTAGTAGTAACTTGTTCTGTTATTATATCCGGTTCGGTGACATTTATCATTTTGAATTGAACCTGGTTAGTTTTATCCCAATTCGATATCAAGCCTAATTGGCATGGGATTTTGATTAACATTCATTACTATTTTCGTTTCTAGTTATTCGATAGATCATGCCTCAGAGTGAATCGGTAGGTGCAACTGATTATGTATTGCTATCGAGTTCATAAATTAAAGTCAGTTCCTGTTAAAGTAATCCCGAATCCAGGGTTGCATATTCATTTGATGTCGGTCTGGGAGGCCCAAAATGATCCGACACGCAAATGAACATAGAACCTGTTACGTTAATCAAACCGGAATTTCATTAATAGACTGTGTAACACGATTCTCGAATGTGTTCATGTAACGAAATAACTAGCCAAAACTGAAAACAGATCAATATTATTGTGGTGTCGCTGCGATAGGTATTATTGTCAATAATTGAATGAATAACGAGAGTAAATGCAGTGCGTTATGAATTATTCAGGTGAAAAACCATATGCATGATTAACTGCTCGATAATTTTACTCATTTTATTGGTTCAGTGGTTGAAATGTCATGAATTTCATCGATCAAGAACTTTATACAGTGTGTAATAGCCAAATGGAATAAATTCCTTATATCGGTTACTGTATATATTAAAAAAAATCCCGCAACACGTCAAATGTAAATTATAATTTGACATTTTTCAGCGTGAAAATGCCACCCCTACCTTCAACCCCCTTAGAATGACAGGTACAACCCCTAAAAATGGGAAG